GCACCTTCCAGACATTGTACACGCACAGCATGCGCTTCGAGAGTTCCCGGGCAACCCTGGAAACAACAGCGTCTGCCGGGTGCACTTCCGCCGGGAATCTCATTTTGTACCTAAGCCAGAACGCAGTCTTAGCATCCCGGAGTTCACCTTCTTCAAGCATGGAGTCGAGGTCGGCCAGGGCTACTTTCGACCTATCCTGTTCAATTTGCTGATAGTATACTTTTGCGGCTGCCCATGCTCGACGAAGTCTTGCTGTCATCAGCAAACTTTGGTCCCCAAGCGAAAGCTTAGTGACCCATCGTTCCACGCCTTCCTCTGTATCCCAGAGGTAACGAAACTCCTCCAAGTTCTGGATTCCTGTGGCGAGGATGGCTTTAATGATTTGCTCACTCAAGCTGAAGTTGCTTTGCAAAGTCTCCAAGGCTTGTTTCACATCGTGCTGCACCCTAGGCACCAATGCTACCGAAGCCATGGTTCACTCAAGGGGGGGCCACTCCCCCGAAACACACCTGCAGGTCGCCTCCTGTCTCGGTGGACTCGCGCGGCTCCTCGCACAAACTCGAGCAGAACTGTCCAGGTATGGGCCCCTTTCTAGTGGCTACCCCTTCTCGGATTGAAGCTCGTTCTCCCCGGTACGACCCCGGTGCGAATGGCTGGCAAAAGCATGGGCAGAGAAGAACAGCCGAAGAGTAACGGAGCAAAGTAACGGGGGGAGCAGCAGAAGAAAGATGAGGCGAGAGAGAAACGCACACAGCACAGCCTGCTTTGCACTCACATGTGACACTGATGCAACTCAACCATGGCCCACATGGCGACAGACTGAGGGATGGGCGCACCTTACTTTTTGTCTGACTCTCTCGCTCTGACCGCACTTATAAGTGTTCACCTACGATGCCAACTCTTCGAGGCTCCAAGTCACTGAAGCGTTCGCGAAGCAAGGAATGCAGGACGGTCGACCCCATGCCGCGGCCTCGAAGGGGTCCGTGGTTGTCATGGGGCTGCGCAGCCGTCCGATACCTGTCTGCTGGTGATGAGTACACAAGGGTGCCCCGGAATGAAGCTGGAGATGCACGTTGCTGTTCTCCGTGGCCACATAGCCTACCACTTCCGGGCCTGGCACCCCGATCTTGCCACGACACACGGTTTCATGGCACCACCTGCCAAGCGTGTTGTCCTGGCGCACTGCTTTGTCGAACTCGATACCTCTGTTGTTACGAATAGCACTCTCCGAGGTTTCCACTGACTCTCGCGCCAAGAGCGCCCTCGCGACCACTCCCACTGATGCCCCGCGATGCCTGCCGGCCATACAATGGAGCAAGACATGATCCCCAGCCCACAACGTGTGTTTAATCGCCGACAAAGTCTTGCTCCAGTCGTTCTCCCGCACTCGGCGGTTGGCGATGTCGAACTGGCGAAGCTTAGCCCCCGGAAGGGTGTCTCCCTTCCTTTGCTCAGGCAGCAGACCTGCAGCGAGACCTTGGGGAAGTGCTGCAGGTTGGTTGCCGTAGGAAGCCCGGAAAGCCACAGCTGTCCGCCGGACCGGCTGGTCCAAATCAGTGTAGGAGGCTCAACTGACTTGCCCGTAGCCCATCGATCGAAGACTGCTCCAGCTGGTTTCTCTGCCTGGGCTCCGACTGAGGCTCGCCTCTTCGGGGGTCGCTCCCCCGGCCAGCTCTCCGCTGCCACGGCCCGCTTCTTGGGCATGGACTTCTGTCCCGGTTCCGGCTTGGGCTTGACTGGCATCGCCTTCGTGGCCGGCTCTGGGGCCAAACGGATCTTGGAGCTCTTGCAATGGACTGCGGGATGATGGCCTCCGCAGACACGTCCTGACCGCTGCACTGCTCCACACCTGTGCTGTTCCTTGCAAGCTTGGCCGCGGGGGCAACTCCCCTGAACATTAAAGTCTTGGCAAACACGAAGACCATCGCGCAAGACATTCGATGCCACCTTGCCCTGAAGAACATATGTTGAGGCTGGCTCGCGCGGATACGGTGGGGAGTTGGCTGCCGCTGAGGGCTGAGGGGCTCGACCGGCTGGAATCACTTCTCGCTGCCCTTGCCTGTCGGGATTGGGAAATCAGCCTCTTCTTCATTTTTGGTGAAAGCTTGAGGCTAAACGCCCTCTCCCCGCCCCCCTGCGTTGGGTGGCGCCAGATCACCGTGGTTCCTGCCTCAGGGCCTCAGTCGCTGCAAAGGGGGCGTACTGCAAAGCTGCATCCACGTCCTCCTGCACCACGTCGTTCCAAGTGGCCTTGTGACGCATTTCCAGCATGGCCGCATAAACCAAATGCTTAATACGCACTGACTCATGGTACTTGGTGGCCGCATAGTGAACTGGCATTTTCTCCGCGCCCTCCAAGCCTGCCTTGTCGACCCAATCCCCCAGCGCGTTCAACTCACGCGGGGTTAGACGAAGGAGCACACCAGCCGACGGCATTACTCGCCGCCATGAATATGAGGTGAGCTTCTCAACATCGGCCGTCACGCTCACCATCTCGTCCTGGGTCGCTGCCACGGACGACGCCATGCTCCACGGGTAGCCTTCCTGGTCAAAGGCCATCCCAGCACCCGAACGTCTTGATGGCGGCAAAGCCTCCCACGCGGCCTGCCATGCCGCAGACCAATCCCAGCCGCTGCCAAAGCGGGCCGGAACAGACCACAGGAAGCCTCCTCGCAGCCTACGCTGCTTTCCCCTAGGACACATGCAGTGCATTGTGGATTCTGAGATTCGGAGGCAACACGAGCGTTTAACGTGGGCGAATCGGACAACTCCGACCGCAACCAGCCATTGCCCCAGCAGGGCAGACCATCTGGCATCGCCCACCAAATTCACGGTCTCGATCCGATCGTCAAGCAATGTTAACATCGCGGGTTCCGCTGGAATCGCTTGTCCTGAAGGTTTCCGGCTTGATTGCGGCCTGGGCTCATACACGAGCTGGGATACCGGCCATACCAAGGATGCTGCGCCATTGAACCAACGAAGTGACTGGATTGCTCGTCCCGGTGCCTGTGTGCCACTCTGCAGAAAAGCATCCAAATCCACCAGATCCAAATCTGCCAAGCCATCTACGCGACCTCGCAGGATCTGGAACTGCTTGAGCTCCGCCAAAGTGGTGAGGGCCCTCTTCACCGTGGCCTCTTCTGCTGCCTGGCATTTCTGGGCGGCCACCCGCAAGCAAAGGCTGTCTCTCGCTGGGGTAAGCGCCCCAGCCGGACGAAATGCACCCGAGGCCACAAAGAAGTTTGCCAAGTCGCCCCCGCCTGCCCTGACGCATCCGCGGCCTGGGGTTTCCTGGGCTTGGCTGCTTTCTGCCCTACCCGGGGTTTGCCGGCCACCACCCTTGGCTTTGACGCTAGTGCAAGCTTGGAAGACGGCGCAGTCGGTCGTGGGGCGAGCTGCGCCGGCAGCAGCGTGCACCAGGCCCACGTCAGGGCTGTTGAGCTCTACTGCGGCGCGTGCACGTGCCCAAGCCTCAGCCACATTCCGACCAGCCATGTCCAACGCATTGGCATACGAACGGAAGGCGTAGGCAAAGTCACCATCGTCCTGCAAACAGAAGGCTGCACGCCATGTCGCCACCTGGCTACTTGGGTCAACCTCCCCAGAGCTGCTGGTGGTGGGCGGATCTGCTAGCGGTTCCTTTGCCTCCATGGCCTGCGCCTCGTAGATTCCCGGCATGGCGAAGAAACAGAGGCCTGCTCCACCCCAGAATTTGAGCCTAGCACGACAAACAGCCGGCCAACTGGCATTCCAAGCAGCAGGGGACGGAGCAACTGGTGCAACGAAAGAAGGAGGGGAGTCCACAGGAGCTGCAAGCGGAAGGGATGACAGGCTCCCCCGCCTGAACTGCGCCCAGCCAATGCCAAAGGGTTCTGCCAGCACGCGCCCTGGAGTAAACTCTCCCGTACTGCCACGACGCCACTGGCTCATAGGCTGGCTCCTTCCAGCGCCGGTCTCCGCTCGCCCAGGGAAGCCGCCCTGGGGTGTGACTGGTTCTGAATTGCTGCAATGAGCATGTTCGCGTGGAACGGCAAAATCTCGCCCACATCCAAGAAAGACCGAGCATGCTGGATCTCTGCCCAGGTAAGCTTCTCGGTGCTAGCATGTGCTTGGGCCCAGGCATCACGCGGCGCTGTCCCTGGAAGCACGAGCACCCTTTTGCGACTAAACAGGCCGATAAAGGGGAACTGGAATCCACCCCGTTTAGCGTTGCACCTGACGCAATCCTCCTGAACGCAAGGAACCACCCGAACCGGAGGCAACACTCCTGGGAGTTCCGGGATGCGGTCGGGGGCTGGAGGATAGTGTTGGATCTCGACTGCAGAACTCCAGACTGAGATTGCCCCGACAAACCCATGGTCCTGGAATACGGCTCGCAAGTGGCTCGCAAAGTCCAGGTAGGCCACCGTCGCCAACACCACCTCATCAGTATGATAGGCACTAACAAGTGCAAAGTAGGTTTCGAGGTTCGCCTCAAAACCCGCATGAGGATGTGTCATACTAAGGGGAGACTCCCTTATTGACACTCAGAAAGCTCAGCAGGACAGAAAAATCTGTCTTGCCGTTTTGGCTCACAGCCGAGGTGCTTTGAACCAAAAGGCGGGTCGGTAATAGAAATGATACATGTGCACCCAGAGCCTGCCAAACTCTACACATGAGTAGGAATGTGCCTTAGCTGAAGGTTATTGAAATTTCTGGGAAAGTAAGACAGAGTGTTGCGAAGCTTCGGCTTCGAGTCCCGAATCTCAAATTCATGGTGTCTTGATTTGAGGCTGCACAATGCCAACATCGTCCAGCATCCAGACTCTCAGTTGAAGTTCCCTTTTTCTGATTAGGATCCACGACCCTTTCCTTCTACACTACTTAAGGGCACCCTGGCCAGCAGATTGTCTAGCTTGGAAGTTGGATCGACTTGAGCCAACATGGGAAAGACAGACACTCTCTCTCTTTGTTCCAGCTCTTTCTTCTCTTTCTCCGCTCCCAACTGCTCAGCTCATCGCGGTGGTTTTCGCTTTCACTTCGTCAAACCGCTCGTTGCTCCATGGGGCCTCCGAAGCCCCAAGTGATAAGTTCAAGTTCTGGAAACGAAGGTGCCAAGGGACCTTGCCGTCCCCGAGCTTGTTCACAGCAATGACCTGTGGGGCTCCGAGTGTGCGGCAGGGATCATGGTGTAGCTTTGTCCAGCTCAGGGCTCTACCAAGGATGTCATGCCAAGGCCTGACTACAAAAAGCAACTGAAGCCCAGTCACAGCCCATGTGCAAGTGCTGCAAGGGACACTCAGCACATCTGAGCACGAGTAATCCAAGGACCCAGGCACTTTGCCAGAAGGCAATGCTCCTGCAGCTGCCTCAGCATTGGAAGGGCATAGATGCAAGTCTGGCAAGGCATCGAAACAGATGCTTCGAATCAAAGCTTCATTTTGGGGCTCGGAAACTAAAGTTTTGCACAGACGTTTGCTTTTTGTAGCGTAACACACACCAGAACTGCACAATTTAGCTAGCTTCCCCTCTCACTGCCCCCATCGCAATCGTGATGGTGTCAGTAGCAAGGTCAGACTATGAGCCCTTGCGTCTGCCATTCTAATTTAAAAACCTTACTTTGCTGTCCTAGAAACCTTTGTTTTGACGCATAGCTTATCACTGAGACAAACCTTTCCCATCCTTTCCCAGAAACCCGTTGTCCAAAAGTGTGTTTTCTTTGTCTGAACTAACTTGCGTCTGCCCTATTTGGATTCTACAATTCTACAAGCCTCAACTGCAAAGCTGTGTCCGTCGCCCTCCACGTGCGATGCTCGAGTCCAGCCTGTGTAGGCATAGATCCAGCACCACCACGTGTCAAATGTGATGCTGCGATGATCGATCCGGTCCGATCCGCTCCGATCCGTTCAGGCAGCCGCTCCGCTGCTTTGGCGGACCTTCCACACACCACCGGTACAATGTGTACAAGCCCGGAGGCAAAACAACCGCATTCAGTCAGCATTTCGTGCCAGCATTCAGATGTCATTTGTGTCTTGACTTGGTTCTGGCCGCTTCCAGCCGCTTCTAGCCGCTTCTAGAAGCTTCTAGCCGCTTCTAGCCCTGGGAAGCCTTGGAACTGAGGTTCCCACACAACCAGGACAGTGGCATCAGATTGGCAGAGCGCTCTCCACGCCTCTGACACAATGTCGCTCTGGTCATTCTTTCCATTGACCCCACTGCGGCATAAGCCACGAGCCCACTGTGAAAGGTGCAGCAAATTCCAGCAAGTTCCGCAATGCCTGCGACATGCTGCCCCGCGCGGGCAGGTCCAACAAAGTGAAGCGGCGGCCTGAGAGCACATGTCAACAATGATGTGAAATGGCGCAGCTGCCAATTGCTGCTCTTTCGCCGCCCTCGATGCCTGGTGTGGAGCAGCATTCCGTGAGCAGCTCACTAGGCTGTACGGGTGCCTTCAACATTCCAGTTTCAGTGGAAAATCCTCACGACGCGTGCACCTGTAATTCTCCATTTTCGTATCCCAATTTTCCCAGACTCAAGACTCGGCCTTGAAGAACTTGTCGACGCTGCGCTGGTCCCAGGTGCCACACCTCAGCCAAGCCGCCAAGGGCCAAGGGCACATGGCCAAGTCTCCTGAGGTTCTACGTGGTGCCAAGGTCAAGGCGAGCGGAGCAAGGTTGCGAACAGCGTGGACCTTTTCATATGGGTTCAGAGTTGTGCAGATGGTCTGGAAGGTCTTGGCATCTGCAGCACGGGTGGGGTCCAAGCTTTCCAGAACCACTCTGTCCAAGCAGCGTGACGGCAACATGCTGCCTTTCCACGAACACCCCAAAGCTTTCCAAAGCTCTAGACAGAAACCTGGCCTTGAATCTCTTTCCGGCAAGCTCGCTGCAGCCTATGCCACATGTCAGATGTCTGCACGTGACGAATGCTAGCACTGCTAGCACCCAAAACATACTGATGTGTGGCACCGCAGCTGCGCCTCACGCGCTGCGCGGAGCTTGGAGGCTCGGTCGCCCTTGGAGTTGGCCTCCTCCCGAAAGCAAGGCTCGGTCTGCCACACGAGGCGTCGTGCTACGAAGATGGAAAGTCGGACTCGCCCAATGTGCGTGTGAGAAGCACACTCACCGAAACAGAGCGTAGCATAGAACATCGTAGAACCCTCTGACAAGCGGAACGACACCCACAACTGGTCAAATCCTGTGCTGGTGTCCTGGCCAGATGACGAGTCGCGAGTTGATGTGGCAGCGGAGGCCTGTTGGGGACGGTTAGGACAGCGGGGCCCCGAGTCAAGCGATGCGGCACGCCTCTTGCGATGCAGTCGGAGCCTTCCTTAGTTGACAGCAACTTCAGCGACATGATGCAAGACCTCCATCCAGAAGGCCCCACCTGCTTGCGGCCTCTTGCAATCACTTACAGCTCTTGCAGCCATGAGTCTGAGGTGCTGGCTTGGCGATCTGTGGCTGCTCACCGTTTTCGGCGTTCGCGCCATTGTCTCGTCTCTGCTGCTGTTCTTGCACCCCTTGCACTCTGTCCTCCTTGGCCACCTGGGCTGCCGACACTGTTGACCCGGCCGACTGCGCCGTCGTCTCAAAGGTCCTCGGCTTCAACGGGCTCTGAGCTTCGCGAACTGCGGCTCCGCCTGCGGCTCCGCCAGCGGCTCCGCCAGCGGCTCCGCCAGCGGCTTCGCGAGCTTCGCTCGCGGCGTCATCTGGCTTCCGGGGTCTGTGGGGCCCGGCCTGCGTATCCTGCGTTGCCTTGTGTGGAGGGCTCGGCTCCCGGAGCTTCGGCTCCTGGAAGGAGGTGTCCTTCGGTTGACTTTGGTGGCGTCCCATCACAGGTACAGACTGCTTCTCCTGATGCAGGGGCTGCTTTTGATGCCGGTGTCCCCGTGGATTTGGCTGGCCCTGTTGCTTGAGCTGCTGCTGTTTTGGCTGGTGAGGCTGCTTCTGTTTCTCGTACTGGTGTCGCACCTGCTCTGGCCTCAGACAATGCTTCCCGAAGCCGATCAACAGGCACAGTTGCTGCCTGCAGTCGAGACACGGAGCCACTTGCTTGTCCGGCTGTGACTTGGGTGGCAAAGCCGCCTTAGAAGCAGAGCGTCAGGGGCTCAGCCACACATCCAAGTAGTTGGTTCACACAAGACGAACTTTGGTCAACAAATGGAGCAGTCAACAAGCAAAACTAAATCTTGCAAGCAGCTGGAGCAGTGTCGCTGCTGCTGGCATTGCTGTCCTGACCCACTCACTCGGGACTCTCCGACTCTCCATGGATTGACGGTTACCGCCTGAAATCAGTAGCACATGAATGAATCACATGGCATCTCAGGGCCCAGCCAAGACTAGCTCTGCAGAGCGAACCCAGGCGGCTTCCTGTGATTGCGATGGTGCCGGCCTCCTGAGCACCGTAACGCGGATGAGGGGCCTGTGAGTTGACCGGGCTGCCCGTCCTGGCCAACAACACCCTTCCGGGAAGCTCGTGGCTGCGCCTGCGGCAGATGAGCGGCGCGCGAAGCCCAGAACATCTCACACGATATCTCAACATCTTATACTCAAAGTGGGTCAAAGCTGATCGCGTGAGTGCCTAGGAGCTCTCCGGCCAATGCCTCCACCAAAAACAAGACACAGAGAGAATACACCGACAGACGCGTTTGCAAAAACAACGAGAAAAGCGAGGGCAGACGCTGGAATGGGGGCCCGGCTTCTGCTCTTGGCGTCGGGGTCCGACCTCTCAGACGGAACAACAAGAAGAAAGAGACGCCCCTTTCTCCCTTGACACCCCAAGGGCCGCAGAAGCCCTCCCAGCAGAAGCTCTCCCCAGCTAGAGGTCGACTCTCCCAACCACCCCCCCCCGCCTGCCCATCGAACCCTCTGTGGTCAGGCGGGCTTCGGCTGGCGTACGACCTGGCTCGAATTCTTTTCTCCTCCACTCCTCTATTCAAATTGTAATAACTTTGGCGAGCTTTACCTCTCGCACACTACTCGGGGTTCGTTGTTAACAGTACTTGTTCTTATTGTTAATCTTTTTCGTAGCACCTGCACTGGTATTCGAATTAATACTAGGGGTAGTATGTTGTCTTGGCATGAATGTTGGCATTGGCATTGACACTGGAGATGAGATATGGTTTCTATTGGGTCCTTGAGCATTGCCATGCTGGAATGTGCGTGAGCAGGGCTGTGGCATCGTGGGCCTGGTGATGTTCTTGCCGAGGATGGAACATGTGCCTGATCGCTGCGGCTCTCACTGCATCTCCGCACATCGAGTCCACCGGCCCGCCCGGCCCAGCCCGGCCCAGCCTTTTGGAGCTTTTCCATAAACCACCGCTCGAAGGCACGCTGATGGCCCTTTCCATGGGGTCTCGAATTCATCGTGTTCGTCGTAGTCTCGCAATGACACTGCTCTCCTGCTCTAGACTTATACTGCTCTCCCGCCTCATCTGCGACACCAACTTCGACGAAGAAGCTCCGATCAAAGTGCGGCCTCGGCACCAGAGGAATCGAATCTCCCATGTACTCCTATGAGCAGCAAGGTGCAAGGATCGGGAAGGATTGGGAAGGATTGGGAAGGGGTCACCCTACTGTCACAGTTCCTGCAGGTTCCGGGCTCCCCAATCGTCGCAGGTGTGGTGTATGCCAGAAACACCTGCACAGTGCCAGACTCGGACGCAAATTTCGGTGCTTCCGGAACGAAAGTTTGGGACTGCCGGTTCGTTGCGGGACTGCGCGCATGATGGCAGCATGTTTCTATTTTTGGCCCAGGCGGACTCTCAAAGTGGGTTTTCACAAAGTTACACGAAGTATGCTCCTCGTGATTCCGGTACTATTTCCTGCAAAGCGTCCATTTCAAAAACCTTCCACCGCAGAGGCAAAATACGGTCCGTCTCCGAAAGCGCCTGCTCCGGATCGTCAAAGAAGCCCTCCAAGGCTGCCTGTCCCACAGAGGGAAGCAAAGCGTAAGGAACGGCGCCGGCGTCGGAAATCGCCCCTTTCCTGATAGCGCTCGGCTCCCAGGCTGCGGAGCCAGGCTGCCAGAGGCCCTGCCAAAGCGGCATTTCTGTGCTTTCTTAAGGAACATCTCGAAGGGCCTTGAGCCTTGAGCTCCGGCTCGCTCGGTGCCCGGGGAGGCACCTGGCATGCCTGACCTCGCCAGATGCTGCGACCCAACCCCCTTCCCCACTCCGTAGGGTAGGCACTCACAAATAACTCGCAGGTGACTCGTAATGGACTCGTGGGCACCTCGGCTGGATGCGCTCACAGTCCTGGGAGATCGCGGCGCCTCTCGTCGAGCATCGCTGCGAGACCTGGCCAAAGCGCGCTTTCATCGTGCTCTCCAGTCTTTCGAGTCTCTTCGAGAGTCTCTTCGAAAGTCTCTTTGAAAGTCTCTTCAAAAATCTCTTCGTCTCTTCGCACTTCTTGCCTTGCTGTCTTCTCTGCGGTGGTTGCAGGTGCCCTGGTTGCAGACTTTAGCCAGCGAACATCCTGAGTGTCGAGAAGCGTCCGCACACTGCAACCTGCTGCCATGTTGCATGCCTGCAGCGGGATTTCAGATATGAGAAGCAGGCGTCCGCAAGCTGGATTGCGGAAAAATTTTAAACTTGGGAACGCAAGCTGGTCAGGGATTGGGATTCACGTATCCCTATACTCTGCCGGCAAACTCCGAACCAGATTTCAGGTCAAGGGTCCGAGCTTGCCAGCCAGAACGAAAATGGCACGGAAAATCCTTAAGTTTACAACCTGTACAACGCGTGCTTATGCGTGCTTCTGATACCTCGTCTGCTACCACAGAAACATCCTCTCGACACAACAGTTATTTCATGAATCTTGGATGAAATGGGTTGAAGGAGGCTGACACACCAGAGAAAAAAGATCGTAGCAGGCGACATGCAAGCCATCGGGAGAATTTCTGCCCGAAAAAATGTAAATGTACACAAAACATTCGTCAACGGCAAGCCAGGAAGGAAGCTGGAACATACCCGACCTAGTGGCTAAGCCAACGTTGGGTTCTTGCCCCCGCAAACGAGAGCTCCTAGCTTCAAAGCGCCCGTGCCAGCATCTCAAAGGCTTGCCGTGGTTTCAAAGAATTCTCTCTCTCACTCACAAGAGCATACAGGAGCCATGTCAAGGACTGGCTAAGCGGGGGTCACTCCAGGCAGCGCAGCCTTTGTGGCGCAAGGAATGCCCAAGTCAAAACTCGAGACCACTTTGTGTGGATCTCGGAAACCACCCGATTTGTAGGCCCTTAGGCAGGCTGCCTGGGCAGCATGGGCCTCAAAAGGAGGTAGCATGCAAGTGTCAAGCGCGCTGCTTGAGAACTTGAGGGAGAGGACGTGGTGGGCCCGCATGATTCAGCGTTGGTCACGTAATCGACAATTTCCATTCAGTGGCATCTCGAGGAGACGTACGCTCCCCGCCAAGAACAAAGATAAAAAAACAAGATAAACCGCTATGTCGCTATGTAGTAGCAGCTGTCAAAGTTCCCCGAACTTCCCGTGATAAAGCCGAGTCTATGAGCGTCATGCCAAGCCAACGTTTGACGCTACGTTTGGATCCACCACGCCCTGCCGGTCCCAGATGCTCAAGTCTCCGGGTCTGGGCTTTGAGCTCCTCAACACACCATGCTTCTTCAGTTCTTCACATGGACAAAGAAAATCAAAGAGACAGAAATTGAATTCCGAATGGCCGACGGAAGAAAAGGAAGACAAGTTGTGACAAGGGTCCTTTGCCAAGTGGCAGGGTCAAGTTGCCTGGCAGCTGCTGCCTGTCAAGATCTGTCAAGTCGGCCACCCATTTCAAGACCGCCATGCCCAGTTTCTGCCAGGGCTCGTGGGTGTGAGATCAGCGCACGTCGTCGCGGATGAGACGTTCTGGTTCTGGCTGGCATAGGACTTCAACGATTGCGGGCTGTAGCCCTGCGAGTTCCCATCCTCAGCAGAAGCTGAAGTCAAGGCTGTGACCGCGCATCATGGAGTGCTACATGTGCCCAGGATTACCCAGGTATCTACCGCCTGTCCAAGGCACGTATTGCATCTTTTTCAGGAGCGACTCCTCGCATGCAGCAACAACTTGCTCGTTTGAAAGCAGAAGGCTTTTACGCTATACAAGCCTTTGTGCGGCTGGCTTTATTCGAGAAGCGCGAACACGCGACAGCGACCCACAGCAACAATGCGATTGCTCGGCGTGGGCGGGGATTGACTACCCCTACACAGCCGAATTGCCCAAGAAAAGAGAACATCCAGAGCCCGGAAACAGGCCAGGCCAAGAATGCAACTGCTCTCCTTGCAAGCCCTAGAATAAAGCCTCAATCTCAACCCGCTCTACAATGGCAGCATGGCGCTCCCGGGGCCTTTTCTTGGGCAAAGCGCAGGCCGCTGATGACGCATGCAGAGATGAACTCGTAGACTGCTACCCAGGCCTTGCCGGAAGCTCTGAAAGTGTGGACACTGCGTCGAGCTGCAGGAGCTTGCAACAAAAGACCCCGCAAGATTATGCAAACTGCCGCGCCTGCTTTACGTCTTCGGTCAAGGACGTGCCCAATCCATCCTGCTGTTGGTTGAACTGTGGCAGAAGCCGGGCCAGCTATGTCCAAAGCAAAACAAGCGCAGCACAAGGCCGCCTGCAAGGTCAGCACAAGGGCTTGCCCACCATACTCGAAGTACTCCTCTGCAAAAAGGGGAGATTTGCAGGGGAAGCATGAGGATGAGGCACTTGCTGACGCGGGCGCCTCTCTCAGGTTGTAGCTCATGTGGCGCATGCCCAGGGCATTCAATTCCTGCAGCACAGGAAGCGAAGGGCTTTCGACTCTCTCCGACTGAGGTGCCAGGTGCTGCCAAGGTTCAGTGACCAGTCTCGAGACGTTATGCAGACCAGCCACGGCGCTCCCCACAGCTTCGACAACCTCGTTAATTGACACAGTTGAGCACAAGCTCGCAAAGCTCCAAGCTCCTCCCGTATCCTCCCGTTGCAGGTCGATGCCTTGGCGAACAGGTTGCGCAGCCCCGTGGAGTGCTCGAAGCCATCCTCCACCTGTTCCCGAACTGAACCGGGCACGGAAAACTGCACGGGTCTGTTGTGTCCGTGAGAGCGGCGCATGGCATGGCATGTGGCCTCCTCCTCGCTGCAGGTCCAGTCGCGATAGCGATTCCGCACGTTGACTGGAAAAAGCGACTTGGTGACGGGAGCAATCTTGAAGAGATGCTTGTACAGGATCTCGCCGAGGTTCGCGACCCCCAGTTCCTGTCAGATCAAGCCATGCAATTTCAGCTATAGTACTGCAGCACCACAAAAACGATCACGTTCTTTTAAAGTCCCCTGATTGTAATTCCGCCATTGAGCAACCCAGCAAAACTGCAAGCGCCCTCCTTCACCACCATCCAACTCTGCTGCACGGTGTTGATTGTTCCACCGGAAGGAGCCGAGCTCACTTGCTGAGCAACTGGAGCCTCGTTGCTGGAACACTAGCGGTAGCAGAGCATGCAGGAGGAGCGTGTACAGATACGACCCTTCCCCGCGCCAACCCCAAAAGCCCACTCTTGCCGCAAAGAGGCCAGCTCGGGGTAGGACGACGGAGGCTTCAACTTCGCATCGATTGGCATCACCGGTCCGCCTCGGCTCAAGGGTCCTCCTCATCCACTCCTAGCATCGAGTGGGCACCCGGCGAGAGACCAGCAAGGTCTTCGCGCTCTCTGACCTTGGGGTCGAAGCCAAAGTGACATCTTCCCAGAGCTACCCGAACTCCCTGAACCTAAAACTGGCATCATGTACACCCCATGCTAAGAATGCCCCTCAGGGGAGTCAACTAGGTAAAAATCCATACTCAAACCCTCTTAAGTTTCTCTTAGAGGGTTCCCTTCCCAGCGGCGGAAGATGCGCCTGGATGCGCGCGGCATCGGCGGTGGCATCCTGCACGCCACGGGCCACAGCAGAGGAGACGAAATCCTGAGAGACAACCACTTACTTTGCAGGTGGCTTTGGGGGTTTTTTGGCAGTTCAGGGTCTGCGCTATGAGGCTGGAAGGTTCACCCTGGATCTGCGGTTGCTGCTTTAAAGCGCTCCGGTTTCAACGTGCTTCAACATTTTGCAAGAGCCAACTAGACTCTCGACTTGCTACTGGGAGCCTTGCTGCCGCAACATACGGAATGAATGATGGAGAAGCTTATCGAGCAAAAACACACTGACTCCACAATGCAGGCGACGGCGGTTTCGGATCGCAAGAGCAGCGCTGGGCATCCAGCAAAGACCAGGATCCAAGCTTGATCTGCTTCGGGCGTCAGCAGGCCTGAGGCCCGACAGAGACTATGACTAGGCCTAAACGAGCCTAGAAAAGAAATCAGCAAGGCCTTACGGCCTTACTGTCAAGCACAGCCGAGCGGCTACAGTGACCTCGGAATGCCAATAGAAGAGCTTGGCCAAACGCCTTTAGATGCTCCTGGGCAGGCGAATCCATGACCGAACATTCTCAGCCGTACAGGCCATGTCCTCCTTGACGCCATAGCCGGCGTGGCGCACGCCAAGAGCTGTCATTTCGAGAGCCACTTTGCCTGACACATCCCACAGCAGCTGGAATCTGTTGGGCCAAAGGCTCCTGCACTCGCGTTCGCGCCTGGGTTGTGGAGCCCCATGACAGCGATGCCCACGGCAGAAACCATCTGAAAGGCAATGGGCAAGCAAAGTATGAATGACATGTGCTCAAACCTTTGTCGTAAACGCAGGATGATTTGGCATCAGTCGAAGCGTGCTCTAGACATAAGCTCATGTGATCCTGGTGTGCTGCTTGTGAGAGAGCAAAGCATGCAACTCAGCAATCCAGCTGCTGTGACAGGCAAAGACAAGCAACCTCACCAGAAAGAGCAGGGGAATGGCAGAGTCACCTGACCTGCCTGCCACATCCTGTTCACACTTGTTTAAACCGTGCCGAACATGTGTTGCCAGCAGAAACAACAGACGCCAGAGGTTGGTCGACCTACTGAAGTTGGGAGTCAGCCCCTTGCTTTCCCCGCACGTGGTGGAAACTGTATGGCGAAGAAGCAGAAAGCTCGGGCCTTCGAAAAGAGCTCCCTCAAAGCACTGGAATTCTCGAAGTTGTAGTCTGCCTTCGAAATGACATCCAACAGTTCACATGCAGCAGACTTTTCTCAGCTACCTGCACGAACGAAGCGAGGCCTCATCGACCGGGCTTGTCCGGTCCCTGTAACGATTGCGGACGCCCATTGGAAACAATGCTCTTGTTGATGGATTCAAGATAAACCTGGTTCCAGGCAAGCATGATGCACAGGCCCTTTGACACGCATGGCTGAGGAAGGGGATGAGGAAGCACAACTTTTGGAGAAGGACATGGTCTTTTTTAGCTCGATCACACATCAAGACAAGGCACATGTTCTTATAGAATGACTCTGCAATCGTGCCAACACTCGGGAGCATCTGCTGCCAGCTTCGCTGGGCGACCTCACAGTCAAGATGTTTCGGCGATACTTCTATGCAGACAGATGCATAGCGCTTTCCAGTTTCCAGCAAGGGACACCGATGACTTCCGCTGATGGCCCGAGCGCGCTCTGTGCTGGAGTGACCTTACCCGGCAGGAGCATGTGCAGAGCCAAGTTTTGTCAATATTCAGCCAAAGTTCTTCCACACTGCTGAGCTGCATGGCCAACGACTCCTCACATCGAAACTGCTGTGAAAACCGGTGTCAGCCATGCATAGCCATGCATCTACTTGCCGGCAGTTCATGTGATATGCTACTGGTAAGCATCTCTTGGAAAGTGATGAGTTGATATGAGGCTTTGCCCACAAGTGTTCCAAGAAGCGGTTTCGACAGCTTGTTCACAATGCTTGCTAGGAAGAATGTTGCAAGTGCTCGCGAGATTTATTCAGTCCGTTAGTATGCTGCATCAAAATCAAAGATGGTGCCGCAGGACAGAGATTCTCATTGACAGCATTAGGATCGAAGCAAGGCATCTCTTCTTCATGAGAATGCGGTCCTTGTCGAGCCCAAGCTTGGCGGTGCTGCTCCGAAGCGCGGATGGCTTCGGCGGGCTGTCCCTTGAAGCATCCCTAAGACCTAGGGCGCACACAAAAACACAAGCACGTGTCACGGTATACACTCTGGTTTCTCTGAGAATCGCAAAGCCTGAGCAGGATATGTCGTGTACCTCCTTGAAGCTCTGCAGTGGAGACTAAGCGCGAAGCGCTTCTTGATCTTCAGCATGTGGCCTGGTAAGAAACCCACGGCCTTCAGGTGCTCGTCCTGGGGTGGACAAAGCAGAGGAGCCTGCTCAGCATGACCTGTAACAGTCGTGCAAAGTCCTGAATCTCGAGCAACGTCTCCATGTCGTCGAAGCCATCTCTGAGCAAGGCGTCGATGTATTGGGGAAGCCCTCTGCAGGCACGGATCAGAATCATGCCCAAGGCCCAGAGTCATCACCAACTCCGGCCTATCTCGCGCATGAAGATGGCAACCTCACAAATCACACAATGACTCCTTCAGGTGGAAGGTTACAGTCTGCGACAAGATAACTGTGGCCAGACTCTCACTCTCCCTCACCGAGAAGCAGGATTGCGTCCCTTGCCATCTTTGCTCAGAGATCTGAAGCTCGCAGCCTGCAGCTCCAACGAGCCCCAGCTTCCAAGATCTTTAGACACGCAAACATCAAGTGACAGAAAGAGTGTAAGTGTAAGAAAAAACTGGATCTCCCCAAAGTCCCCGAGCTCTTGCCTGGCCCTCTCGTGGGCCACGTGCCGTGAGGCTCGAGCGTTGAGTCGGCGTGGTGCGACCGATTGGACCTCGAAAAAGCTCCAGGGAAGGCGGCTCTTTTGATGTTTCTGTCTGTGTCTGTGATCCCCTCGACAAAGCCAACTGTGATATGCTTCCCTGCGCCTTCCCGATTCCCCCCTAGCCTAATTCGCCATCCTTACACGCTTCCGGGTGGCCAGGTGCAGGCCGCGCGCCGCGGACGGCACCCGGCTGCGGATCGTCTCCTTGAAACAAAAATCGAAAAAACCAACTCGAAACGAGGAAAAGCGAGGAACACAGCGCGTCAACGCAGAGACTGAGAGGCCCGGACGCTTTCGGAGCATGGCAGCTAGTCAGCCAAGCTGAGAGCCATGAGGGCCCGCGAGACCAGTCGTTGGCAGATGCCGCCGAAAAGATACTTTGGGGACTCACCAGCACACCAGCACACCAGACTTCAAACATCAAACTTGCCCTTCAAAGACCCCCCACCTCCGAGTTGCGGGGGTCTTCGCCCTGGCCTCGGACCATGCCCATCATTGGTTGCCCCCATGCGGGTCCGAGAAAGGCCAGTGCGGTACCCAATGCGGTACCCAATGCGGTAATCGGGTGCACATCCGGGCCTTCGCGAGTCCGGGTCTGCATTCCATCCCAGTCACTCCAGGTCCACCGCCCACGGCCTGACTGCAAGAGGTTCTCTGAGGGGAGGCAAGGGGGCAACACGTGAAAGGAGGAGGGGAGCACAGAATAGCGCAGAACTACACAGATTGGGCAATGCCTGTTTATTTGCATGCTGGCCGACCGCGGTGTCATGTTCGGAATGCTTGACAAGATCTATGTATCATGCATCGCCAACATTCACCAACTACGGCCACGGACAAGCGATACTTCGATCTTAGGAACGAAGCTCAAGGCAAGCCCGAGCTCGCCATGAAGTAGGCGTGCCGTCGCCTCCTCTGTGATTCCGAGGTGTTTCTGTACGCTCTCTATTGAAGTGCATCTGTTCCTTAGCCTTTGATATTTGTGATATTTGTCTTCTCAAGCATGGCACGGAGCATGGCACCAGTGATGCACATCGACTGCCAGTTCTGGCACGCATCGGCGTGTCACCACTTGTGCTCCTCTCAGAGCTGCAATCCACAACCTTCGGCCTGTTTCGTTGTTGCAGCATTTGCAGCCGAGCACTATCACCTCCAAAGGTGCACATGCCCATGCTCTGCTTGCCGAAACTCAACCCAGTGCCGTTTCCTTTTAATGTTTGCATACGGCATACGGTGTGCTAAGCTGTGCTAACCCTGGGTTGCGGAGCAGGCATGCATGAGGAACTAACATTCGCCCGTCAAGCATTAAAGGCATCACCTGCTGCATTTCATGCAACACGAAGATGTCTCGGGAAATCTGCAGTGCAGTAAAGTGCTTGCGCGCTTGAGCTCATCTTGCTCGCACAGTAGCCTTTACGCTGGAAGTAGCTTGGAATGCTGCGCCTGTAGCACATGCCCTGCAGCAGTAGCGGTAGCCGACATGAGTGCCGCGCTTTCACAGCGAAAATCACGTGTGTTTGGCTGGTGCCCTGGCATCGGGACATCACCATACCTGTGCTATCCAACAGAAGCAGCAGCTAAGACTTGGCTTGAAATGCGCCGCCGGGAATCTCCGCGTATGAGAGAAAATTCGAGCATGGTAACAAAACACCAAAATTCCAGGATCATATCCAGGATTGGACTTCCAGAACAGCGTACGTCGAATCTCGCCGGGTGGGAAGAAGTTTCTTTGTGGTGCACTGAGGTGCCCTGACATCCCCTACACTATCCTACCCCCAACTTTACACCCAACTTGTCCCCTTTGAACGGGGCACTACCACACCCAGCGGTCTGTCACGGGAGATCACTGACGCAACGGGATCCAGCGGGGAAAGCTCAAGTAAAGCGGAGGTACTGCAATGTGCTGCACCTCAAGTTCCCCTCAACCACGGATCCAAGAACCTCTCCCAACCTCCCCAGGAAGCAGACTTGCAGTTCGCAATCTTAGTCCTACGGACATCCGGGCTAATCCAGTCCAGGGAGCTGATGGTGAGGACATTCAAACCTACGTTGTTTAAAAGATCTCGGAAGCTGTCCTGACACTTTGATGACGCTTCGAGACGCGGCCTTGGGAATAAAGGCAGCCACCTTAACAAAAGCTGAAGCGGTCGCTTGGTAGCGAGACAGGCTTTGCTTTGCTTTCTTTTGCTTTGCTCTGCGCGCTTGCGCGCAGAGGGACTCCATAATGATCTGCCAGCATATGTCAACCGCTATGTCAACCGCTAGTTACTTAGTTGGGGGCTATTTGCGGGAATGGCAGGGGGGGGGGATGTTCAGATGTTCAGCGTGACTCTACAGTGCCATCTGGCCTTCGCAGAGCGGGCAGAAGGCGGGTAAGCTGCTGTGAGGCTATGTGAGGAAAGGCTGTACAGCAGGAGGTCTCCTTCCCCTCCTCATTCCACCACAGTGGGAACCTTGTTGGTGGTGCGAAACTCATGAGCCTCTTCTGAATCTTTCTTGTCTTCCATTTCCTCATGAGCGCCACAGCACCATGTTGCGGACGAATCGCAAGCCCGATGTTGGCATTTGCAGGCAAGTGACGACGTCGCCATCGTCGTAAACATCGTTCACATCGTTCACATGCATCTCAACGAAGGCATCAAAGGCAATGGAACAGGAGAGGAAGGCATGTGTGGCCTGACGGTGCAAGAACATGATTCAATCTGATTCAATGACATCATCATGGCAGAATCTGCTCTCAATTTTGGGGGCCAGTTGTGCCGCGGTTTCTTGTGGTCAGAGGAGAGTCAGGGCCGCCTGCCTCCAGCACCCCTTGCGTCGCAGTCCCTGCGAAGCTTCCCACGCCAACAACCACGCTGCTAAGCACCTGATGATTCTGACGATTTGTCCATGATGGCCCAGGCGGGTGTTTACTCCCCCCCTCCCTCCTTTGCCTCGAAGCTGGTGTGAATTGCTTCAGAGATGCCCCAGCTGTTGCGCTCCAATGCACTTCGAGCCCTGTGAGCGCTCAGCATCTGCATGTGGACGGTCAGAATTTAGCATGGTCAGAACACGCACCTATGACGTACGACATGGCACAAAGGCAGTTGGAAGCCAGGTGAGCGGCGTGAGCAAAGGCATCTGTAAGGTTTCGTCTTCCAAGATCGTGGGCAGCACATCTTCGGAGATGATATAATCCTTGCAGCGCGCGAATCGACTCCCTGCTTAACGGAAGTCAACTGCTTTCATCACGAAGACCCATCGCATCACATATCGCATCTCCGAGCCGCGCTGTCCAAATCGAAAAACTCCCACTTTACGCCTCTCGGGTTCCATATGACAAAAAAAGCGAGCTCAAAAAACACAGCTCTCCAAAAAAGAGAAAACGCTCTCACAACACAAAATGCTCTAAAACAGCGAGGAGTGTGTCCTCTGTCTCTTTTAGTTGCTGCAAAAAAAAAAAAAGGAGTGGGATGCAGAAATGCGATGAAATGCCCCACCGGGCTCCCCTGGCCCGGCCTTCGTCTTCCTCGGCATCGGGATAGCCGGGGCAGTCCCTCTCATCCCTCTGAAGCTCGGAGTCCTGCCAAAGAAGAAGCCCAAAAGAAGGAAAGAGCCAAAAGAGAAGGGACCACAGGCGAGTTTCAAGTGTGAGGGGAGGGGAGAGGGGGAGAGGGGAGGGGGGTGGAGAAGAGGGGTGATGTCGCCCGCCTCGAGGCTTGAGCTTTCCTCGAAGCTGGTGCCATGGTCGGGCTCTTGAAGGTCGGAGCCCTGACCGGTGCGCAGAAGGTGTTTTTAGTTCTGAAGAACCGAGAAGACATTTAGAATTTAGGATCCTTTAGGCATTCGGGCCCAGGATGCTGGCCACCTCACTATCGGTCTCCGCCTCCCATACTGAGTGTCTACCTGAGGACCAGCCGTCACAAGAAGCAGTCACCACGGACGGGGGGGGGGGGCGGTCAGATCCCAAAGAAATCACGAACCCTTACAAGAGCTTCACGTGCGCTGCGAAGCGAGACCACATGACTCAGACCCGCTGCCTGACCCTAGACCATCCCTAGACCCTATAAAACCTGCTACCCACCGACCTGCGGGCCGAGCATCGATCCCTCCCCGAACCGTGCCCCTAGAACCGAACTGGGGATTAGACATGATTAGACCCCCCAAATTCCCCCTCCCCCCATGCCCCCCTTCCGGGGAAAGCTGGGAGCTTTCGTAGCGAACATGCGAAAGCCACGCCAAGACACCTTCTTCACCTTCGACTTTCGGATGATGCTGCGAGTTGATGTCCGAAAAGAAGGAGGCAAGCTCGTTCCTCGACACGTGTAACCGAGCATACTTGTGCATGCGACTGCCAAATTCTGTCGAGGCTCTCGAAGGATGGATCCAACTTCGGAGACACCTGCAATGAAGAACTTAACTTGTAAGAGGCCAGTGGAGCTCAGGTGCAAGACTACTTGGGCAGCATCTTGAAGCTGTCGTTGCCAGGGCATCCCGGCTCCCATGCAAGGCGAGGTACCCATACGTACCCCATTTCCTGCTGGTTCACTTCATCACGTGGCCAATTGAATCCAGCCCTATGATACAGATGGGTTTCAGCAACAGGGCCCCCGGGCAAGATCAGACAGAGCTGATGCAGTAAGTGCTGTGTAGCTGAAATTCTGAAAGCCTCTTGTGCAAACGCGAAGTTTGGAGCATGGTGCGCAAAGCGATACGTCTTTCCCAGCAGGCATCGATTGCATGGGGCAGGATGGACGAAGTGAAAGGCACGGAAACCAAATCAAAGCAGTGCGCACATCGAGCAAATGGGAACGGGCTCGGCAAGACAAGGTCGTGGCATGAGCCCCAAGCCCCTGGTGCCCTTGACCTTCCCAAAAACCCCTCTTTCCTCCCCAAGGCCGGCCCGGCTGCCGAGGCGGCGCGCGCAAACTTTTACAATTACCCGCGGATGTCGTTCCCTGCTGTTTCAGGCATATGTCGCGGGCAGAGGAAGGACTTTGTCGCGGAGGGGGCTTGTCGCACAACGGCTACCCTCGACAATGGGAACTGTGTACTGTGTCACTACTGAGTCACTACTGTGCATGAGGAGACCAGAGCCATCGAGCCTTACCGTCAAAGTCACTATGCCCCGCTTGGCTGCAGGGCTCCTGAGAGCAACCATTACTTGGCAAGTCTCCAAGAGACTTGTGTCACGTCGGCAACTTCGTGTCGGCCTGTGTGGCTGAGGATCCTGCCAGTGCCCGCTCGCCTGCTCTCTGCGGCTGCTCTCCCAGACTTGGACCCCCTCTTGTCATGACAGAGGGCGCCGTTCGGCTCAAGCAGGTGTGTACCTCAGAGGCTACGCAAACTTCAGGAAAAAGGCCTTCGCACCTTAAGCGACCTTGAGAAAGGCAATCTCCTTGCGCTCCAGGCTTCTGCTTCTCTGAGTCCTTTTGCAGACTGCGCCCGCCCGCCTCGAGGGGCTGCGGGCGCTGCTTGAGCCAACGATGTGCCAGCGGAAGGCGCGAGTTCCCAAAACCATGAGCTTCCCCGCAGAAATGTCATTGAGACAGCCGTGCCAGCCGTGCAACAACTTTGCAGAACATGCGCCAGTGGATGCCCTGCCTGCCCAGCTCGAGTCCCACCAGGATGAACCTGCAGCAAACGAGATAAGCGTCTCCGTCATCAAAGCGAAGTGCTCTGAGATGCCTGAACTCCAGGTACCTGCTGCCTTGGTTCGCAGCGGTTCACTGTTGAAGCCTTTTGTCGGCTTTGAGAGCACGCTGAGAGCACAGTTGCATGGGCTGTCCCATGCTGTCCATGACCAAGTCTCAAGCCGTTGCGTCAGACTGGAAGCCCGACCTCAGACAAGGGATATCATTGATATCATGTTGTTCTCCTTGATCTTTACTGAGCATTCCGAGCTTTGAGGGCGCCATCGGGGCTGCGACAAGCCTCCCTTTACCCCAACGTCCTTAGAGGTGTCTGGAGGTACTTAGCACGGAACCAGTTCGCCGTGGATGTAGTGCCTCGGTCCTGAGGAGGATGCGTGCAATAACACAGACACAGGGGTTATCCCATGATACTAGAGGCATCCAAAAAAAGCTACGTTTAGGGACCCTCATCTGCCCAAAAATCAAAGACAATCGCAACGGTCCAGGGCGCCTTGCTTTGGGACTCCGTGAACTGTGCCTCGAACCACCGGCGAAACCTCAAGAAAGGTCGCTACATGTCGCTTGCATGTCGCCCACAAACGCAAGGACTGTTCTTGCTTCGAACTTCGAGCGTCCGCACCCTGTAACTCATTGGCGCTCCAAGGATACTCTATGGGAGATACACTGTTACACTAGTGGGACATCTTGGAGTACAGTACTCAGCGGAATTCTGCGGAGCCCGGGCCAAGCGACCCGGGCGAGAAGTACACGAGACACAGGGGTGAGGTGAACAACAGAATTAGCATCCAATTAACCCCACGACCCGAAGGTGGTGAAGAATACAGGACTGTCAAACGATTCATCCAGGGCCGAGACATTTTTTGATGCCGCAAGTCATGAATATGAAAGTCTTCGAAGAACTGCGCCTGGTGGCGAGGCCACAAAGCTCCCCGTCACTTTCGAATGTTGGCCGTATAAGGCTGGCACATCCAGCGAATGCCATGTGGAGTACACCGCTTGAACCTGCAGACGGCTTATTCACTTATTGGCTGGCGGAAACTCTGCCGGCTCCCCGAAAGAAGTCGCGTCCATTCCAATCGCGGCCTCTGCCGGTGAGCTGAAGGTGCCCAGGCCGCGCGCGTACGCATCCAAGCCTCCGCAAGCCCCACCCCGCATCTCCGCCCCCCCTCGCAGCCCTTGCACATACGGCCCAACCGGGTCCCCAAGACAACCAGCCTCCACCCGGATCGATGCTGCGAAGCCAGCTGCGCATCCGGTCCACCATGTCTTGACGTTGCTGACCGTTGTGGATAGAGGCTAAGAATGGCAATGCTGCGCGCAGTACGTGAAGCAGCTCATGCTGCTATCATCGGCTGCTTTGTGTTGCTCTTGTTCTTGAATTTGTTCTTCTTCTTCTTCTTCTTCTTCTTCTTCTTCTTCTTCTTCTTCTTCTTCTTCTTCTTCTTCTTCTTCTTCTTCTTCTTCTTCTTCTTCTTCTTCTTCTTCTTCTTCTTCTTCTTCTTCTTCTTCTTCTTCTTCTTCTTCTTCTTCTTCTTCTTCTTCTTCTTCTTCTTCTTCTTCTTCTTCTTCTTCTTCTTTCTTGTGTGTGTTGTTGTTTTGTTGCTGTTGCTGTTGCTGTTGCTGTTTCTTTTGCTGTTGCTGTTGCTGTTGCTGTTGCTGTTGCTGTTGCTGTTGCTGTTGCTGTTGCTGTTGCTGTTGCTGTTGCTGTTGCTGTTGCTGTTGCTGTTGCTGTTGCTGTTGCTGTTGTTGCTGTTGTTGTCGTGGGTGGTGGTGGCCGCAGTCGCTATGACTCTTCAATGCAAGTTGAACTCAAGCCACCGCGGCTTTTGGCGTTTGCTGGGATAGGAGCCTCCCATCGGCTCTTGAAGTGCCAAGGCTGTTGACGTTGCTGCCTAAAAGCAAGAACCTCTCGCCTGCCTTTTCGCTTGCTAGCCTCGACATGCGTTCACACTCGAGCCCAAGCACCAACGCTCGGTAAACTGTGGCAACTTGATTGCCCCATCTTGCGGGTGAAACAAAGCGTGAAACGGGATCGGTACTGCGCCAATCACTTTGAGCCACCTCGCTGTCAGCAATGTCTTCTACAAATTCTACTACACATCGGACATCATCGGACTCTCTTGACAGACCCTGGCCCAAAACCCAATTACAGATTACAGTGCTGTAGCACCAGCAGCTGTGCGTACACCGCATCCCGAGCCTCAGCGACTATCCGCCAGCATTTTTGACGGTGGCGCAAGTCCCGGCATGAGCTTTGCGGCTTTCCTGGCGCGAGGCCGCGCTCACTAAAGGCAACGCTAAACGTCGCTGTATACCCTGCTCTCCACGCTGCTTATGCTGCTTCCTTCCTTCCCGCGCACGCAACTCGTCTACGCTGCTCCCTGCCTCTCTCGCTCTCTCGCTCTCTCGCTCTCTCGCTCTCTCGCTCTCTCGCTCTCTCGCTCTCTCGCTCTCTCGCTCTCTCGCTCTCTCGCTCTCTCGCTCTCTCGCTCTCTCGCTCTCTCGCTCTCTCGCTCTCTCGCTCTCTGGCTGGCGGTCCCGGTGCCGGCCAGGCGCACCACGGGCGTCAGGAAGCCAACAGCCTCTGTCAATCTCTTTTCAAGTTCTCAGATCTCTGCGGAAAGGGCGAGAGATGGGGCAATGATTGCTTGCCTCGCTTACAGCGTCTTAAGGTATCTTACGGCAGAATCGCGGCAAGCATTTGCACCAGCTGGCCTCCGAAGGAGGGGCGTGAGAGAAATGATGCGTCGCAGCAATTTCGCCGTTGACCTGGCTGGATCCTATCTCGCTCCCAACACGACTCAGGTACCCAAGTACCTGTAGCCTGCAAACAGCGCAACGCAGTGATGCGGCAAGTGCTTGCAATTCACGAAAACATGCCAGCGCCACCGCCACTCTGATCATTGCCCCACCTTCACGATTGCACCTGGATGCAAACTGGCAGAAAGTGGTTGAAAAGTAGCAATAAATGGTGGTCCGCGGTGGGTCATTGAAGCCGCCATCGCATTTGGCACCCTGAGGATTCTCTGCGCGGTGCAAAGGGCCGCGTTTCGGCCGTGGGATGCAGCGCAGATCGGCGCTGAGGGCAGCTCAGTGAAACGCAGAAGGCTTAGGGCTTCCTAGGCTCAAGAAATTTAGGAAACTTATGAGCGTTAGGAGCGAGTCGAGAGCTGCGGCGAGGGCGTGTCTCGCAGCTGGAAGTCCAGGTCGGCCAGGACAGAGTGGACCACCTCCCGTGCCACCTCGGAAGCGACCTGCACCACCCGCTCCGCATGAAGGGCCTGCGGGAGGAAGAGCGGAGAACCAGGCCGTCGGCCAACACCACCACTGGCAGGAGACGTTGCTGGGCGTGCCCGCGCCATCTCCTCTGCTTTGGCACGCAGCAACGGGGTGACCGACACGGATGCCTGCTCAATGACCTCCTGGGCGATGTTGGAAGAGAGCTGGTAAAGTGACTGCCGCGACACCTCGCCGCGCAGCCAGACCTCGAGGTCAGCCATTCTTCGGTGCAGTCCTTGCACGTCCTGCCCGTTTACAAATCAAAGAACCGTACCAAAGTGTTGGTATTTGGCAGGCACAACAACGCGTACGGTGGATGTGTTGCACAGAATATGACATTGAGCACGCGAGAGATAAGGAGAAGGCTGCGTCATCCCCTGATCATGATATGCCGCAAGCAAAGCAGTTCCCCAACTTTGGCTATGGAATACGAGCACATTCTGAGAGTCTGCATCTACTGTACTTCGCCCCATCCCTGGACAAAAAACAGACAGACAGACACCCAATCTTGAGATGCAAGAGCTTGGTCGTGGCTCCCTCCTCCCTCCTCCACCCTTGCCTTGCCGGCAACACTACAGCCCACTACACACTACAGCCCACTACAGCCCACTACAGCCCACTACAGCCCGCGACGGCTCACTGCAGCCCACTGCAGCCCACTCCTCGAAGCGAGCATCCAGTGTGCTCTTGTGCTCTTCCAAACGCGTCTCCAAGTGCTTTAAGCCTGGATGCTCATCGAACCTCTCAAGCATTCGGCTGTGCTCTGCGAAACGCTTCTCCAGGATCTGCCTTTGCTCCTCAAATCTCGATTCGAAGCCTCGCAAGCTTTGCAGGTCGCTGAAACGGGCATCCAATGAGTCCAATGTGCTCTTGTGCTCTTCGAAGCGGGTCTCCAGGTGTCTGAAGCTGGGGTGCAAGTCCTCAAACCTGCTCTCCAGCATGCGGCTGTGCTCTTCGAAGCGCGTCTCGAGCTCGCGGAAGCTCTGCGCCTCCTCAAAGCGTGTCTCCTCGAGGCTGCGGCTCTCGTAGGATGCAAGTTTTGCACGCTCCGCATCCTCCTCCTGGCGACTCAAACAGCTGAAGGCCCGCTGCAGCTCCCGTACGTCCGCTGACAGTTGGGCAAAGTCGTTCGCTGGCGCAGACACGCCTCAAGCGATCAAGCGAATGATCTGATACCGTGCAAAGTTAGCCGGCCACGGATGGCCACGGCATCAAATAACAGCTTCTAAACATGTCTCAACAGCATCCCTAAAATGCAAGGCAAAGAGGCAGGCGAGCTCGTCTGAGAGGTGCCAGACCGTGTCCCGCATGATGGCGACGTCCCGCAGGAGGCCCTTCAGCAGCACGGCCTGCGAGATCCGCACAAAAGTCGCTAAGCACATGGTTGCCTTGGTGTGTTTTGCGGCATTCTGTGGTGTTGTGTGGTATACTCTGTGGAATTTCTCTGTGCGTACTCTGGTATCTCGCGTTTGTTGCTTCTAAGGCGTTTTTGTCGAGAGAGATGTTCCTCACACGCCTGCCTGGCGCTGGAGCTCCTGTTCCACCTTCAGGGCGCACGATTCCCCAAAATGGAAAAGTCGAATCTTCCAAGCCATTCCAAAGCCGAGAAGCCTTGCGATAATCAACCAGTGATATTCTGACGAGAGAGTGAATCATGGTTAACCATAGTGAATCTCTTAGTGAGTCTCAGTGTTTTGTGGTCACTGCTGTTCGAGTTGGCCACCTCCAGGCCCGCTCGGTGCCCGAAGTAATGGCTTCTCGACTCGTCGCTGAGCTCCAGGCCACGGGTGGCCTCAAGTTCGCCTCTGGGCGTGCTCTGGGCGCTCCAGTCCTGTGCAGCATCCAGCGTCCTCTCCGTGAGGGACCGTGTACTGGGCTCGGCCAGTGGCCGGAGGTCCCTCATCGCTTTCACGCCCTTCTGTCTTCGTCGTCGGCTTGACAGCTGGGGCAATTCCGGACCGTTTCCAGCAAAGGCCCAACGCCTCAGCCGCATGTGCGGCGATCCGGGAGTAACGGGTATCATGTCAAGGGATCCCGTTGTTACAAACAACAACACCGTCCCTTAGCCCCCTTGAACCCAGCATAGACACCACAGCATGAACAGCTAGCTTCAAACATTCACACACGCAGCTTTTCACAGCATAAAAGCGGCTGCATCCGTTTGTGTCCTCTTCAGGCAGTTCCGTCTCGAACTGAGAAACTGCCTTCACAAGTTTATGAAGGAGTTCCTGTTCTTTCTACAATGAAAGGCTTGCCTCGCGCGACAACAAAGTCTCCTCTGTTTGACCAGTCAATGGCCAGCACTTTGGAGACCCAGATTGCATGGGTACCAAATGGCACGACAATTGCGCCACTCCACCACTCCATGCCACCCCGGTGTGCGGCGTGGACCACCACGGAGCATTCTCGGATCTTCTCGGAGCGAGCGCTGGGAGGATTCGCAAAGTTGAGCCAGGGCTTCTTGCCCTCTTACCGAGCGACCGAAATCGGCGCGAACCGCTTCTCAAGGGGTTCACGCCTCCTTCAACCCGACACGTGGCTTCGAAGTCCTCATGCAGCCCCAAGGCCCAAGGGCCCTTTAGGGCACACAGCTGCTGGACGCGTTCTCGGAACAGGCCCTCACCTCCATGGTCTCCCACGCACGGGGGCCTCGAAGCGCTCGACACTGACCAGCAGATTCCGAGACGGCCGAAGACGCTCACATAAAAGAAACAGAATAGATGCAAACAAAAAAACAACAGGGGCCCGCACCCCAGACGGCGCGGCACCTCCGGAGTCAAGGTCTTCCGAAGCCCCGAGAGGCAAAGAGAGCGCGCACATTCATGCAACGTAGATCAACATAGCATGCCCGTGTAAGCTCAGTGTAGACCCCAAGCAGTGAGAGACCATGTGAACCCAGAAGTCCAAAAGCGACGACAGTTTCGCATATGCGAGAGCGCGATTTTTGCCCAAAACTCCGGTGATCTAGCCCGTCTTACCCTCAACGTTGGAGCCCGACTCAATCTTGACACGGTGTTGGGGCAAGAGACAGAGGACAGAGAGAGAGAGAGAGAGAGAGAGAGCGAGAGCGAGAGCGAGAGCGAGAGCGAGAGCGAGAGAGAGAGCGAGCGACAGAGAGAGAGAGATGGAGAGAGAGAGAGAGAGAGAGCGAGAGCGAGAGCGAGAGAGAAAGAGGGAGAGCGCTAAATGTGACAAGAGCCGCCTTGCGGCATCTTTACGGCCGGAGTCGGAGAAGCAGACCAAGGCCTCGATCTCCAAAACATTCCAATCTTAAATCTTCCTCTCAGAACATTGACACTGACTGCCACATGGTGACACGAGAGTACTAGAATAGTCTTCTGATTCTTGAGGAGAAGATGCAGACGATGCAAGCGTCTCACATCAAACGACGCAAATGAAGCTTTGCAAAGGTGCAGTGTCGCTCTCCACTCTTGCCATAGCGAAGTTCCACGAGATACCATCATTCACCACAACCTGCAAAGGTGTTCAGAACTTTTAGGGGATGGTTGTGAAAGGGCTGGTTGGGCTCGCAAGGGAGCGGCTTAGGTCGCCTTTCTTTTAGTTGTGCTGATTGGGGCAGACTGGCCTCAGAGCCTGACTGCAAGGCACCAGCAGACCTAAGACACGTGCTGACTCTGCTCATGTGCGTTCCCGTCACTACAGAATCTTCATCGCGAACCTGTGTTTACCTGGCTGCAACTCCAAGACATGGCAGTAACTTCAGGCGAGACATCCCGCCAGGCATCTGCGGCATGTGCATGTGGCTTCGTGGCTGCACGGGATGGGGTCATTGAGTTTATGACTGTTGTTTCAGCAGCCTTCTGCCATCATGCTCTTAGGGCCAGTCCACCAAAGCCTTCTGATGCGTTATGGAACTGGTCACCTTATGTGTCCTTCACACCTGTCACCAGCCTCACCAGCCGCCCGGCCAAGAGACTTCCCAACAGGCGCTTTCGCCCTTTGAGAGCCGAGACCCCGGCACACCCACTACGTGGCACCTCACAGGGCTTTGAAGTGCCTTACAGAGCACCTTACGGCTTTCCCATTTGGACATGCGGGAACGTAAGTGGCTGCACCTCCCCTGGCTGGAGCCAACCTTTCGGAAGCTGACAAAGAGAGAAAGCATGAAAGGCCATCAAAAAACGTCTCTTAACCTTACGAAAGAAGAAAACTCTGCAAGCCAAAAGAAAAAGAACATGCCTGTGTGCAGACCGCGCAGCTGCTTGGGCACCTCAAAAGTACGCACCGCGACGCAAAAGGAATATCGACCGAAGTCCTATAAGAGAAGAGGTGGGCACAGCTGGTTCATGAACTTGGGGTTGAAGCTGCACCTCGTGCTGCGACGTGATGCGTGCTGCGACGCGTGGCGACTGCGCGTGAGAGCTTCTTCTCGCGCACGTTCCTTGGCACCGAGCTCTCCTGCTGCCGCCCATTCTTCGCACTGGAGGCGTTGATCCGTGCATTGCTGCAGTGGGCCCTGCCCAAGCCCGAGAAGCCCAAAACACGGCTCCGAAAAGGTCACAGATCACAGGATGGTTCACAGGGTATTCCAAGCACATTCAGCCTGGCGCTCCATGCAGAGCAGAGCCCGACCAGCTGAGACGGAAGCCAAGCTCAGGTAGCGGGTGACCTTGGGGAGTCGTGGAG